AAAAAGCAAATATATCATAATCCAATGTACAAAATAAAACTTAATATAAACTACAAATAATAATACAAAAATCATTATTCATACAGTTTATCTTAAGTTTATTACCAGTTTTTAACTAATTTAAGAATAAGCAAATATACAATAAATTCATATACAAAAATAAAATTTAAAATAAACTACAAATAATAAAAAAAAAAACATTAACTACAAAGTTTATCTTAAGTTTATCACTAAATTTTAACAAAATTAATAACAAGCAAATATACAATAAATTCATATACAAAATAAAACTTAATATAAACTGCAGATAATAAGAAAAAATACTAACCATAGAGTTTATCTTAAACTTACTAGTGTTGATACCCGTGCGATGCACGGGGTACATTTCAGAAAATATTTTTTATTTAAATATTATAAAATTATTTAAGACAATATGAATATATATTCTACACAATATTATATTCAGTAATACTATGATATTTATTTATTTACTATTGTTATCATCCGACTCGGCAAGACGCTGTTAAGAGGTTTTAAACATCCTATTAAATGCGATTAAACTGTTAAACCGACATGAATCAGAACCGCACCGATCAACACCAAAGAACCGGTCTGAACCACCAAAGACCGAAGTGATCAACGATTACCGAGGTCAACATCCACCGAGGACAACATGAACCGAGGTCGTCACCTCCTTAAGCAGGTGACAAGGCATCTACGAGAGACTCTCCTGCTCCACAAGATCTGTCATCATTTACGTGGGGCCCCCTGCCTCAAACCGCCCATAAAAAGCCACTTTATTCAAAAAGTAGTACACGGATCCCAATGTATCAATCCGAAACTACTATAAATAGCGGACCTATGACAACTGTAAGGAGATCGATCTCTTTTTCTCCAAATTACCGAACTGTAAACCCTTTACTAAGCAACACGTAAAAGCCCATCACGGCTCTTCACCTCGGTTCACCTCGGACCGGGGCCATTATTGGTTCAATCTTACATGCTTTACGTCCAAATCATTCCAAATTACTCACTGAATCATAAATTACATCATTGTTAACAATCACATAACAACAACTATTATTGTTATTTTATATATATATATATATATATATTTTTCGACTATTTAATATATAAATTTTTTATCTATAAGTTATAAAATAGTGTAAATGTATAAGATTATATGATGTTTGCATACAAATTACTTGTATATACTTATAAAATTTTCGTTTATTATAGTCTTATAATTTTTTCAATAATTAATAATTTACACACTGATTGATAACTGGTCAATATTTAACCCATAATATTTATCTTCTGTTATAATTATTAAGTGCATTGAATGTTAAAAATTTTGATAGATAAATTTTAATTTTTAGTAATTTTAATCCTTATGCAACACACAAATTTTTAATGGTTAAATATTTTATTTTTATGTTTTCATTTTTTTATTTATATTTATTTATTTAATTCATTTTTTCAACCTATATAATGAGTTAGATAGTATCTATTCGAATATTTAGATATATTATATATTCCATAATTACCAAGTTCTATAATTTAAATTATTATACATTGCTATTTTATTAACTTATTTTTCATTTATAAAATAGTATATAAGAAAAAATATATATTTTTAAAAATTGAATAGTTTTTAATGTACATAGACACTTCTAAGGTGAAATCTATAATTCTGAATTGTACCTGACTGTAAAATTTTATTTTTATTAGTATATTATTTAAATTTTCAGTAGTGTTACCATAGCATATGATATATTCAATGGGATATTTATATTTAAATTGGCTACATTTCAGAAACTTTTATTAATATTTTAAATTACTTATTAAGTTATTATGATTATAACATAGTTATTTTGATTATTTTACTAAATATTTTAAGTACTTCTGAATAGTGAATATAATTAATTAAATTAATATCTACAACCATAGATGATAATATATTTAATCAAATCAATTTCCATAATAATATTTTGAATTGTGTCAATATATTACTATTAAATCAATATAAGATCTTATTGAAAATATATCTAATAAATCAACGGCCAAAATTTTTATTGAAGTCAACTTGTAGTTAATGAGTAATAGTAATTGAGTGTATAAAAATTAATTATGTTTTTCATGCATAAGATTTGCTAATAGATAAATTTTAAGTAAATACTAAATATAGACGAAAAAAATTTCCCACCCAAAATCATGTCAATTATGACAATAAGGATTGGTCCATTATATAGATATAGATTACATTATCTATATTAAAAATTAATTTGAATTTATGGTTAATCATAAGTATATCTTAAGTATATTTTTTTTATTTGTTTACTAAATAATAATAAAAAAAAACTGGTAAAATCTTAAGTATATCATAAGTATATTATCTATTTTTTTAATAAATCATAAAAAACTAATTAATCTTAAGTATATCTTAAACATATTATCTATTTTTTAATAAATCATAAAAAATTTGAATAGGACAAAATCAAAAACAGTAAATAAACTAAATATAAACCATAGATAAACCAAAAGAATAAAATAAATAAACTATAGATAAATCAAAAGAATACAATCAATAACTAAATCATTAAAAAACAAAAACCCAATTTACAATTTGAGAACACAAACAAGGTAGAAAAGGGTATTTTCTTCAATTTGAGAACACAAACAAGCTCCAATTTTCCTTTTAAAATAGAAAAACAAAGCGGCTGAGATCCCGATGAAAAGCAAGCTGAAGGCCGCCGGAGAAATTTGGGGCTGCGGTGGTGGATAGGATAACGGCTGTGATGACAACAGAGAGAAGGCGGGGAACGAGATCGGCAGCGGTGGCGTGTGAAGGGCGTGGATGGCCATAGCACATACTCCCGTTTTTCACCTTTTGACGGATTAAAAGGACTCTTTATTAGGTTTCTCTCGCTTTTT